ATTTTTATTATCACATTATTTGATGTTGCAGATGTTTCATTCCATATGCATAAACAAGCAGAATCTACATTAAACATAATGATTATGATTGGTATCATAAAATGTTATAAATGTGCACAATGATGTGTTAAATATTCGAATGTTCAGTAGGTTCGTCACAGTTCAACTCCATAATCCTGTTACTTCTTATAGATGATGGAATTATACATTTTAAGGCGATATTGGACATCAGTAAAATACACATGATGATTGACAGTTTTATGTCAAATGTGATATTCTGAGAATGCTCTGTTCTAATAACATTATTATATTTTCCTTAGAATAAAAGAAGAATTCGCCCATTTTCAGAGACCCAAAGATCCTGAGCCAGACCAGGTAGGTACCCAAGACGCATCTCCCCCTCTGGCTGCTGTCCTGGGGCCTGTTTCTCTACATCAGTCTGACCATCTTCCCTCAGATTATTATACATAATTGTGTCTGTAGCAAATCTGTGGCCCTTGTGCTCTTCATCCTTCCCTGTAAGTATGGAGTCTGAGGTAGAGGAAGAGCCCTTATTATGACTGCAGCACACAGGAACATGTCAGTAAATGCTCCATGCTCATGGTCCCCTGGTGTTTAACATCATAGCGAAGGCGGTCATATAATACTGAATCTCAGAAAAAGGTTGATTAAACCAAAGAAATGTATATTAGTGATGACAAGCTTGGATAATCAGCATATAGACTCTGGTACAGTCATATGAAAAAGTTTGGGAACCCCTCTCAGCCTGCATAATTATTTACTCTACTTCCACCAAAAAAGATAACAGTGGTGTGTTTAACAGTGGTATTTCCTAGGAACATCTGAGTACTTGGGTGTTTTCCAAACAAAGATTTTTGTTAAAGCAGTATTCAGTTGTATAATTTTTTTTAATCAAATGTGAAAAACTGACTGTGCAAAAATTTGGGTACCCTGATTTGAATGCATATAACTACTCAATATTGATTACTTGCAACACCAAATTGGTTTGATTAGCTCGTTAAGCCTTGAACTTCATAGACAGGTCTATCCAATCATGAGAAACAGAATCTAAGGTGGCCAATTGCAAGTTGTGCTTCTCTTTAACTCTCCTCTGAAGAATGACAGCATGGGATCCTCAAAGCAACTCTCAAAAGATCAGAAAACAATGATTGTTCAGTATCATGGTTTAGCGGAAGGCTACAAAAAGCTCAGATCTCAGAGGTTTAAACTGTTAGTTTCAACTGTAAGGAATGTAAACAGGAAATGGTAACTGGAAAGTATCTTTGTGTATTCCTAAAGAAAGGCATTGCCACCCCTTCAGAGGGATCTCAGAGGAAACAGTGCCTCCTTCTGGCTGCCCTATGGACAAGCAGCTTGGGGGTACAGGGGTCACTGGTGTGGGAGGGGTTGGCACCCAGTTCCAGACCAAGTCCCCCCTCCCTAACAGACTGTCCCCCCTCCCAGCTGACCTCCTGGGTGCCGCCAAGGTGGCAAACCTGGTGAGAGCTGCCCCCCAAACCAGCAGGGGCCCCAGACCACGTTCAGATGGGGACTCGAGGGAAAGGGCTTTGAGTGGCGCTTCAGATATCGAGCTTTTCCAGCCGCACAGAAACCGGTCTGATTATGATAAGAACATAAGAAATTTACAAACGAGAGGAGGCCATTCAGCCCATCAAGCTCGCTTGGGGAGAACTTAACTAATAGCTCAGAGTTGTTAAAATCTTATCTAGCTCTGATTTAAAGGAACCATGGATGATGAAGAAACACAGCTGAGGTTTACAGGCCCAAGACCAGAATGCACAGCATAGAGAGCATGAAGGCTGTTTTGGTGACTGTAACAAACATACAGTGACCCCTGCTGGTGAGATGGTTGTCCTGCGCCCACTGTGCCATGTGCTGTCGGTAGGTTACTCACCACGGCTGACTATGAGCACCACACAAGCCCTGTGGTTTGGAGATGCTCTGACCCAGTCATCCAGCCATAATGATTTGGCCCATATCAGAGTCACTCTACCCCTTTATCCCTGCCCATTTCTTATGGATTCAAAATGTCAAGTATGAATACTGAATGTTAGCTTACCATCTCACATATCCCTGACATTGTCATGTGCTGCTTTTATGAGATCATAAAAAGCACATGTTATTTGCTTCATGTGGGGTGGTCATAGTCTTTGGCTTGTTGATATATTTTGATTTAGATCAACTATATTACAATTGAATCAGTTTCGGGTTGGGCTTAGGTACGGATATGGAACTGTTTTGAATAGGGAAAGGTAATTTATATATGATGTATATTAGAGGTCGACCGATGTATCGGTTTTGCCGATTAATCGGCA